GGGTGGTGGTGGTGGATTATTTTAAAAATATCTTTTTAATGAAAGCTGCTTTAGGCATCCTGTTATGCTACGAAAATTGACATAAAACATCTCCCATAAATAATTTAAATGTGCTAGGCTGAAGCTCGCTTTAAATCTAAAGCTTCAGGTGTGGAATACCAGTTCCATTATTCTCAATATACTGAGACTGACAGTAAATACTCAGCAAGGAGAACCAAGTATTTTAGGAAGACTCAGAGTCATTGCATCATCACAACTCCAGCAAGCCTGCAGGTACTGAAAGTTTAGGGCCTTTTAAATGGTAACATCCAAACTCTTGTTTGCAAGAGAAGACTTTTTGGGGCTCACTCATTCATTGGGTTATTATATATTGGAAGAAACTTGATACATAACAAGAATGGGATATATGACTATTGATACTACAATATTAGGGTTAGGACCTGAACAGAAATCTAAGCCTGCAGGTACTGAAAGTTTAGGGCCTTCTAAATGGTAATGTCCAGACTCTTGTTTGCAAGAGAAGACATTTTGGGGCTCACTCATTCATCGGGTTACCATATATTGGAAGAAACTTGATGATACATAACATGAATGGGATATATAACTATTGATACTATTAGGGTTAGGACCTGAACAGAAATCTGTGTTGATTTATTGCAAATCACCTGCGAAGGCACTGTTCTGGAGAGGGAGGGAACTGCAGGGACAAGCAAAGAGTGGCTACAAAAACCATGGCTATGAGTTCTGTCACATAGGATTATCTCAGTTGGTTCTTGTGGATTTTTCGGGCTCTTTGGTTGTGTTCTGAAGGTTGTTCTTTTTAACATTTCACCAGTCTCTGTGGCTGGCATCTTCAGAGGACAGGAGTCAGAACTCTGTCTGTGCTCTGTCCTCTGAAGATGCTGGCCACAGAGACTGAGGAAACGTTAGGAAGAACAACCTTCAGAGCACGGCCAGAGAGCCTGAGAAACCCACAACAACCATCAGATCCCAGCCGTGAAAGCCTCTGAGAATACATTATCTCAGTTCTTCCCTTATTTAATACCCCTCTATACAAAACTGAGGTGGCGGGTTCGCCTGCAAACTCTGTACATTCAGTGACAAGTACTATTCCTTCATCTTGACATCAGTCATGCAGACGCCCTTGTTATGCTAGATGTTTAAAAGCCTACTGAGCAGAGCGATCACACCTTCATGGTCTCTAAACTGTTCCCTACTGGCATGTGGGAGACCACCTAGAAAGGTAGATTACACATTTTCAAGGAGAGTACATTACCAGTAGTGTTAACAAACCCCTGCGGAGCTGCACATCTCCACGCGACTATTACGCCCAAACCAGTAGTGTGTTTAGATAATTTTGGACTCTAATGTAACAGTGTTATTAGGATGGCAGACTGTACATGGAACTGAGTATTATTTATGTCAAAAGTAAAAATGTGCACTTGACATCAATTATCATAATTATTTCTGTAGCAAACAATGATGCAGCCATTGTTGTCCACTCCGCTGAAGACCTCCAACAACTCATCAATCGTTTTAGCAAGGCCTGTCAAGACTTTGGACTAACAATCAGCCTGAAGAAAACACAAGTCATGAGCCAGGGTGTGGACTCACCTACCTCCATTACCATCTCCATGCAAGAATTGGAGGCTGTTCATGACTTTGTGTACCTTGGCTCAACGATCTCTGACACTCTCTCCCTAAATGTCTAGCTGGATCAACACATTGGCAAAGCAGCCACCATGTTCTCAAGATTCACAAAGAGTATGGCTCAATAAGAAGCTGACGGCATACACCAAGATCCAGGCCTATAGAGCCTGTGTCCTGAGCACACTCCTGTACTGCAGTGAGTCCTGGACGCTTTGTGCACGGCAGGAGAGGAAGCTGAACAAGTTCCATATGTGCTGCCTCCGACGCATTTTTGCTATCACCTGGCAGGACAAAATTCCAAATAGAGTAGTCCTAGAACGAGCTGAAACGAGAACTGAAACAGCAACGTCTACCTTAGCTTGGGCATGTTGTGAGAATGGCTGATGGTCGGATTCCAAAAGATCTCCTGTATGGAGAATTAGTGCAGGGAAATCACCTCAGAGGGAGGCCACTGCTGCAATACAAGGACATCTGAAGGCCTTAGGCATGGACCTCAACAGATGGGAAACCCTGACATCTGAGCGTTCAGCCTGGAGGCAGGCGGTGCAGCATGGCCTCTCCCAATTTGAAGAGACCCTTATCCAGCAGGCCAAGGCAAAAACGCAGTCACAAAAGCAGCAAAATCAAGGAGCTGGGCAGGGAACAGATTGTATTTGTCTTCAGTGTGGGAGGGATTGCCACTCTCGAATTGGCGTTCTCAGCCACCCTAGATGCTGTTCCAAGTCCTCCATACAGAGCACGTTACCATAGTCTCTCGATACTGAAGGTTGCCTAGTCTAGTCTAGCACTTGACCCAATTAGGTCTCTGTGTGAATCAAGGCAGAAAGATTGTTACCCAACCTGCCGTTTGCCCAGTCCTTGACCATGCCCGTGCTGCTAGTTCATGTCTGCATCTTTGTGAAAAATTCCATTCCCACCAATGTGGAAACACAAGCAGCTACGGCTTGGGATGGAGTTGGGGGCTACACAATGCTGGCCATCAGAATCATTTCTAGAATAATAATTAGCCCACCTTTAACCTAGAGAACACAAGGGCAGAAAATTGAGACAGCTGTTATGAATACAAGTAGAATCACCACACTAACAAGAAGTTAGAAAGCAGAGAGTGAGAAAGACAGAGAGTGAGAAAGACTTTAATGTCCTAAATGGAAGTTCTGCAAACACACCTGCACATTCAGTTCTGGTACTTTAACTGTGTGTTTTAAAAGAAGAGGAAAAAGCAACAGGACCAAAGTCCTGCACTTCATGTTGAAGCTAAAAAAATATGCAAAGAGCAGCTACTACAGTCATTGTTTCTCCCCAGCTCCTCAGTAACTGAAAGGTACAGGCAATGACGTGGGCTACCTGTGTGTGTGTGTGTGTGTGTGTGTGTGTGAGAGAGAGAGAGAGAGAGAGAGAGAGAGAGAGAGAGAGAGAGAGTTGTCCCTTGTTATCTTTTATTTTGGCTTAATATCCTCCTTATAAAACACTGATACTGTAGCTTTGATTCCCCATTGAGTGATTTTAATCACATAGTATCTTTTACACTTTTTTAACCTCAAAAATGCTGTCCCCCCTATGAGTATTCAGCTTTTTACTCCACCCTCCGGTGACATAAGAAATGGCTTAGATTTGGTTAATGGTGTGACATTCCACAGATCCCTAGAGTCTAGCCCAAAAGGTAGTTCACAAGCCCCAAAGCTTGGAGAGGGCGATTTTTGCACAGGGGCGCAAGATACAGGAGAGGTAAGTGCAGCTGCATCTTTAACAGTAGACAAGGAAATCCTGGCAAATATAACTCATCAAGCTAAACCTAATAAATATTATTCTTCTACTATTAATTAAGTCGCAGGACCCCTGTCCACTTTTGCATCCCCCCCCTTGGGGCCCCAAGAACTTTGAACTGCGCCTTTCCAACTGGGGGCACCTCAGGGTCTGATGAGGTGGGTGACTCAGTCTCAGATTTCAAGGTGAGGCATCCCTATTCAGATTGCAAACTGCCTCTGAAGCAGACTCGTCTTCTTTTAAGATATGCAACAAGGAGGGCCAAATTTCAGCTCCCACATACGCCCTCAATACAGGGCATGGGCTTCCTGAACTTCCCAGGTCTCTTCCTCTTATTTCTCCTCATTTTTTTAACAAATCGTGGGCTTCTTCAAAATAGATGGGGGGGACGACGACGTCTGAAAACTTTTTTTCCCTTCTGTTCCGAAATACCCGATAACGGGCCATAATCGCCCAACTGAATTCGTAGCCCACGCACGGACCCCACGAACCAGGAGTGGCGACGCTGCAGGGCGCCCCCTGCCGGGCTCTGGTGTTTCCCAAGCGCGCCTGCAGAAGGAGCGGCGGCGGCAAGGTTATTTGCAGTTAGCTGCTTTGATCCCCGGGGCCGGCGGAGCTGAAAACGCTCGCATTCCTGACATAGCTGCCGCCTCTTGCGCAGGCTAGCCTCCCCGGCTCTCATTACAGCTGGAGGAGGGAGGCAGGCGCTGTGCTGCGTTGCCTGCCTTCCAGCAGTAGGCAGGCGCGGGGCGAGGAGGAGGCGGCGGCTGCCGACACGCACGCACCCACCCGCTCCATTCAGTCCGTGGCCGAAGTGAGAGGAGCGCACACGTTGCTGGACTGTGGTAGGCTTGAACACTCGCGCGCGTGTGTGTGCGCGTACGCGCGCTTGCTTGCTTGACGATCGGGGAGTTTCTCGGTGCTCTCAGCTCCTGGAGCGGGGAAGGAGAGGGGGGGGGAAGAGATATCAAGCCGTCCCAGCAGAATTGCGAGGCCATTTCGCGGAGATTTAGGAGCTCTTGTTATGATCCGGTAAGTCTCGCGGCCCCAGTGGAAAGGCGAGGCGGCGGCTGAGTGACATCTGTCGTCCTCGGGAAGAAGCTGGGGGGGTATCCTTCCTTTGTTGGCGCTGGACCCTCGCTCCTAATATTCTCCGAGTGATTGCACCCCCACCCCCCAGTTTATTGCCACTTCTGCCTTCGCGCGCTCTCTCTGAGGTCGGTTTGGTTTTGACAAAAGTTGCGAAAGTCCCCCCCCCACTTCCCAAGGCCTAAATTCCTCTCGGGCGTCTGCGATTCCCATTGAGCCCCTTGCTATCATCCGCCCCCTGCCCCGCAGCCCCTGCATATACAAATCGCCCCTTGCCCAAGGTAGCGCGCGGGAGGCTACGGTGTTTTGCAAACCCGCGAGGGAAAGTGTTTGGAGATGTTTGGGGTTCTTGCCGGGGGGGAGGCGGGGGGGCGACGGGGAATCCTGGGGTGTCGGCAGCTGCCGGGCCTTTGGGATCGGGTGGGGGGGAGCGCGCGTTGTGGTTGGGGTTGCTGCCCGTGAGCAGCCCCGCGATCTCTTTCCTCTGTTAAGTCCTTGGCTTTTGTCTTGCCTGCCGCCGCTGCTTGTCGGAGCCGTGAGCTCGCGGGTTCTCACTTAGCAGGAATGTTAATTGCAATCCAAACCCCGATGATGTCAGTGCAGAAGTATTCGGAAAACAAAGAGCGGGCAGCCGCGGCCGAGCGAGCGAGCGAGGCAGGCAGGCGAGGGAACTCGACCCAGGCAGCGCAGATGGCAATTTGCTGAGTGCGCTTCGGGCGATCGCTCGCTCTCCCATTTCGGCATGGACGAAGGTTTTTCCGGGGAGGTGTGCCGGGTTTCTAAGCCTCCCTTCTTCAGTCCCGAGGACAGAGCGAGAAAACTTCTCGCAGGCCATTAAGCGAGCGAGCAAACAGACGGGCGCACAAAAGGCGGCGCGCGGCGCTTAAAGGAGAGACCGCGATCCCGGGGAAAATGTGAGTTCTCCTCGGCTGGAGGGCAGCCCAAGGGTAAAGCGAAGGCATGCATAGTTTCCAAGGAGTTCGCCCCGGTCGAGCGCGGTGGGACGCGCATTCCTTGTGGAAAGGTGCGAGGGTTGCCTCCTCGTTGCCTCGCGTTGGGGACAAACTTTCAAGGAGCGCGAAGACTCGCTTTATTTTGGCGTTTGCTGCAGAAATAATTCAGATAACGGGCGCCAGATTTTCCCTGCAAAGAAGTGGGACAGAAATAATGGCGATAATTAAGAACGGAATAATAAATAACGTCTCATTGTCACGAACGGTTGGTGTCTAGGTTAAGTTAATGAAAGGTTGCTCTTTCACCCACTTTGGATAAGGAGATAGAGCTTATAAAAATGATGAAGGCAGTTGAAACTTTGGAGCATTTTGGGCAATTCACTGTGCTACAGAAATGTCAAAGAAGCAGTTGGTACCTTTAAAAGTCATCAGAATCTGTCAAAAGCTAGGTTTGATTTATAATTTAGCCCTCCCCAGTCTTTCTGATTTGGGGCAGGGTCCACATATGTGTCATGCTTTGTAAGCCTGTTTATTTTACATTGCAGGAATTTGATTCTGAAGCATCCTAGATGGTGGTTATAAAATGGGTTAAATGCTGGCATTTACCATCTTTTCCTTGTGCTTGATGGGCATGCTTTATGACTAGCATTGCATGTGAAGTGGATGGAGCATGCATGGCCCCAGTGGAACCTGCTTTGTACTTCTTGTGCTCTCATTTTTTAAGATAGTACTTATGTTTTTTTTTTTCATACCTGTGCCTGTGTGGAGTTTCTTTCCCTGGCCAGAGAGTCTTCCTGTCTCAATCTGGAATCTGGAGGCAAGCCTCCCAAGGGCACGTGATCGGTTTCCAGCCGCTCTGGAATGTCCCTTTGTAGAAATCAGTTATCGGCTGCTTTGCAGCACTAACAGAGCTTTCTTTGTGAATTTCTTCATTTAAAGGAAATTAAAGTCCGACCAGAATGTACTCAGAGACATGTTTTGTAACTGGTCAAAAGTAACTTTTCTGTTTTTCATTTAAATAAAATATCCCAGTGAGAGATTACGAAGCTCCTGTGGATGGAGGTAGGCTCTTCTGCAGCTTGCTTTTAGAAAGCGGTTCTGACCTGGAGTTTGGCCCTTGTCTTGGCTAGCAGGACTGCCTGTTAGGATGATCTCCCCCAGAGAACACATTTTCTTTATGAAATAAGCAGATATTATTTGTTCTCAAGTAGAGCTTGGAAAAGGTGGAGTGTTGTTTTTTGGGGACTGCAACTCCCAGAGCCTTCTGGGCAGTATGACCAATGTCTGTGAAAGTTGTGGGAGATTCTGGGAATCGCAGTCTACAGAAGTAATATTTCCAACTACAGTACAGACTTCCAGTTTGTATTTCAGAGCTGTATTTCAGACAACTGAAAGGTTTTTTATTCTCAGTACCACATGTGTTGGGTTGGAATCTGGGATTTTTCCTTTGGGTTTTCTGTTGGCGATTCCAGGCTGACATTTACTGTATTGGCATTACCTGTTCATTTGTGACCTGCTTCACAAGATTGTTGTGAATAAGAGCCAGGTTGTAAAACTGTACATTAGTTCTCACACTTCCTGAAGCTAAAAAAGCTTCTATTTTTATTGTTAGCCGTCCAGAGTAGACATGGGTCTAGATGGACGGGGTATAAACTTAATAAATAAATAAGTAAAATAAAAAGAATGCAATTTTATGGACACTTCCTCAAAAGTAAAGCTGATTGCTTCTGAATAAAGATGCATAGGATTTTAACAGGAACAATCCAGGAAGAAATCATAGTGCAATCACATACATTTGTTCCAACTGTTCATGGGTAGTTTAGATATATATGAGTGAACAAGTTCAAAAAGAAAACAAGCAAGTTAAAATGTTAGCCACTTTTGCATCTCACCTTCCTCCCAAGAAATTTAAATATGAAAATAATGCAGCTATGGAATAATAGTTATGTTCTCACAACAACCCAGTTAAGTAGACTAGATGGCGACTGAGGGAGAAGTGACTTGAATGAGGTTTCTAAATGAGAGTGTTTCGATACCTTCTAGTTACTGAGCTGTGCTATCTGCTGACTCTTTTTCTTTTCTCTTTCAGATTCATTAGGCTAGACATTGGCTACTAAATATTGGGAACAGTTGTTTCTTGGTGTGCCTTTGGAAAGCGCTGCAGTGGACAGCCAAGAGTTGAGGATGAGGACAGCTGAGGATTCCTCTGGGACTGTCCTTCACCGCCTCATCCAAGAGCAGCTGAGATATGGCAACCTCACAGAGAATCGCACACTCCTGGCAATCCAGCAGCATGCCCTACGTGGTGGCGGTGGTGGAGGAGGAAGTGGTGGGAGCCCACGGTCCTCGCTTGAAAGTCTCACCCAGGAAGAGAATCAGATGGTTCAGCAGTCCACAAGGCAGGAGCCCCAGGGCCAGGAATATCACAGCGATCACCTGTATTTGGAGAATAACATCTATCGGCTCTACCAGCCTCAGCAGAAGGGAGAGGAGCTCCCCACCTATGAGGAAGCTAAAGCTCATTCCCAGTATTATGCCTCACAACGAGGGCAACAGGCTGGAGTAGCCTTGTCTGGGGTACACACTGAAGGAGGGCAACGGAGCAGGGTTTATGCCTCAGATGTCAGCAGCAAACACCAGGATGAGTCCCTGAAAGAGCTGAAACATGGACATGTGCGGTCACTTAGTGAGCGGCTCCTGCAGATGTCACTTGAGAGGAATGGAGCCAAATCTCAGAACCACATGAGCTCCTCTCACAGCTACCCTCAGCTTTCTAAGAACCATCAGTTCTCTGTCTCCAGAGGAAAGTCATCTGAGACACCAGAGGCCTGTGGCCCTCCTCCAGAGTATCCCTATCTCATCCCTTCACAGGAGGCATCAGGTGGTTACCTTCCTGACCCCAGGCATCAGTATAGAGAAAGTCCAGGATTTCAGCATCCTGACATCAGGTAACCCATCATATTGGTCTAGTGTACCAGTCTTCACATCACCACCACATGTAGTGCATTACAAGGCCCATCCTCTCTGCTAGTTAGTTTACAGTTGTACTTGTGAGCCCAGTGCATTTGTGGACTAGGATGGGGAATTGTGACATGGTGCTCTTGTATTTCTCTTACAAGCCCTCATGAGTTTCAGTTGCAATCAAAGATAAGATTTCATATGAGGTCTCCAAACAGATGCGTACAGCTTAGCTCAACTCAAACTCATTTACTTATGGAACTCCATTCTTAGCTGGGATCCCCAGAGTGGTTGAGGATTGCTAGCTTAATCCAGCCTTTGAGCTATCATTTGCTTCACACACTCAGGAGCTGTAACTAGTGTGGAGGTGATCAGGGGCGCCAGAATTTAAAGAACACAGATGTTGCTGCTGGAAAGATGTGAGTCTTCCTGTCCTGAGTGTGTATACTGCTTCTGGCTTCTTCTCTCCAAACGCGTGGAAACACAACACAGATGGGCTTAGAATGGGCCAATATGTGATCACTGAGTGCTCCGATCTAGCCATCTTTTTTCACTCATGTCAATCTCACAAAGTTAACCAATGGGACGGTCCAAGCTGCCATAATTGCTGGTTAGGGCTCTGCATACTGTACACTTGTTCTTTTCTTCTGATTAGATGGACAGCTTCTTCCTTTTTTTCCTAAAGGAAGGGAAGCAGTTCTGGAATAGAATAAATGTCCAACTTCAGAATGGACTGTATTCAGCTCTTGTGTTGTGCCTTAGTTTGAGAAGAGCTAAATAGGTCCAAGATTCATTGTTTCTGCCAATAAGAATAGTTATCTTTCTTCATAGGAATTATTTTCCCCTTTTATATGATGTAATTTGCTTTCTTTTAGAAAGGCATCTTATTGAGGTTCACATTGGGATTTATTTTTATTTTTTTGCACAACAACAAAATCCAGTAACAAGGAGGAGTCAGCATGTTGGCTAATAGTGATCTCTTTCAGCCCAAGAGGAAGTAAAATCTGCCCCATTATACATAGCCATTCTCAAAGGAATGAAGCATCCTGTGGGAAGTGGCAGAGTTGCCTCATTTACAAAGAGTCTCATCTGTGGGCACAAGTAGTAAAGAGACATAGAGTCCACATTGGTTTGTTTCAGGAGAGAATGGGTTCAGGATTTGTCCCCCTCCCAGAGCCAGCTTCTATGCAGAAAGCAGGGAAGGAGTCTTACTCCTTGAGTTTGGGAAGATGATGCCAGTGATGTTATATGTGCAGTAGATGGACAGAAGGGCAGGAAGGAGAGCTATTGGGTGATGCTCAGTAGAAGCTGCATGTGATTATATAAAAATTGGAGTTTCTTCCCTCTCTTCTGTGAAAGAAAGTTAAACAACAAGACAACACAAGCGCCAGAGTTAGGCCTCAGTGCATTCCTAAGGTAATGAGTTGTGCCAGTAGTAGTGAATGAGTATCTTGGACAATGCACAGGATGTGTTTAAGTCATTGTACAAAGGCTTTTCATATTAGCATAAGAATCAATGAGTTCTACAGATGTCTAAGGATAAGAGTAGCAAGTAATTTCACAATTGCCTGCCACTCTGTGTGACTTACAGCCAAGCCACCGCTTTAAAGAAGGAGGAGGGGAACTGGGCCATAGCTTGTTCACTCTGAGGCAGAGTGTAATGAATGCTGACAGGAAGAGATAATGTTGGAGACAGGAAATAGACTCTTTCCTGGGGAACAAAAGGAGGGGGGGCTATATGCTGAAAGGAAGGTGCATTGATTCTTGCTTTCTTGAAGTTCTCAAGAATGTCTGAGTAAGTCTCCACCAAGCAAGCTTCAGTTAGATGAGGCCACGTCTTTTCAGGAAGCGTCTTTCCCATTCAGGCACCAGGGTGGCAGGCATGTTGTATTTTAAAAAATTCAAGCTGCCAGTGCAGACAAAAGATATGAATAGCTTACATTTTTTTAAAAAAATGCAAATCATGAGTACTATTACTTTGGTTTCAGACCAAATTTTGACTAGAACAGTAATGACCAACTTCACTCATACAACTTTGTCGCCCTCTTGGTTAACCTTGTATTTTATAAGACTGGCCTCTGTGGGAAGAGGGCAGAAGAATGGAGAGGAGAGTGGCTGAAGATGGTATACATGTTGGTGGTGGGTGTGTTTACGCCCTTCTAGCTGCAAATACCAACAATGGAATTTGCAAATTTCTAGCAGCAAAGTTTTGTAGTGTTTAAATTTTGGCGCTCTGGATCAAGGCCTTAGTTGTACCATCCTAGTAACAGCTTCGACCTTAAATATTGTTTCAGAGGACTTAAACATTGTTATCTAAAGACATCCTTCTTGCACAATTTCCATTCGTTTTCTTGATACCTTTGTTGGCGTTCATCATGCCAAACTGAGCAGTCCCGTGCTCAGTTACCTCAACATAAGACAAGGGAGAATATGTGGGACTTAATTCTGAGCTTGCTGTTTAGTTTCAACATGGAGAAAGTTGTGGGAAGAGTAAATTGTAAAGACGTAACATTACAGGTTGGCTCTGAAAAGTCACTTCTTTTGATCCAGGCATTGTTCTTCACCATTCTGATTGAGAGAAGAGCACAGCCTGTGTGATTTTTGGTTGGTTGGGTAGCACTGATTGATGCTGTGGAGGTTGTACATTATGAAGTGGTATTACATTTACTCAAACAATGCATTGGGAGTTATTTGTATTATTTGTGCATGTTCAGAATTTTAATAGCAAACTCAGCATGGTTTATACAACTTTAAGGGGAAAAACTGAGTGATGATGAATATACTAGAGACTTAAAACAAGATGCACAAATAACAAGGAAAAGGCAATGTGGTCCCAAGATTATACAAATATAAGAATGGGCAATACCTTTTATTGGACCACTAAAAAATAAAAGAAATTGCAAACTTTTATGGAGAAAATTCCACCTCTTCAGGCTTGTCACAACCTCTGCATAGATGAGACAGAAAAATTGTAGACAAGAGTCCAAAAATTGATGGTAGAGGCTGCTAATGACCCTGTAATTGTGCATGTATGCATACTCAACAGAGAGAGAGAGAGAGAGTTTGATTGAAACCTAAAGTTTCTTCTTTGCTGTCGGGGAGAGGAAAAACAGGACAAAGGCAAAGCAGCCTCTAGCACAAGTTAGGGGTTATATTGTATAGATTCCTCTCCCCCGCCCCAAGACTGAAGATTTAGAAGTATCTGTAGTATTGAACCTTAAAGTAAATAATAATAATAGTAGTAAGACTTAATGATTTGGTTTATATATTTGTGCCACACACATGAGCTGAAGTTATGTATTTGCACAGTATGGGGGGGGGCGGAGGACCCCAAAACACAAAGAAAAGTAAAAGCAAAGTGTCCTGTTTGTATAGTGCCCTGTGGTGCTTAAAGCTTTCTCTGGGCAGGTTGCAATTCAGTTGTGCAGGGTACACATTCCCACCCTCTCCCCTAGTAAGCTGCGTATTCAGCTACCAACCTCAGAAGGATGACTGCTCCCTCCCTCAGCAAGCTGGGTACTCAGTTTACTGACCTCGGAAAGATGGAAGGTTATGTCAACTTCAAGCCAGCTCCCTGAGCCTGGGATCAAATTCAGGTTATGAGCAGAGTGTTCACTGCAGTACTGCAGTTTAACTGCTGCACCACAAGGCTCCCAAAAGTGTTGAGGTCTTCCAGGTACAAGATGCTTATTGTTTACTCTCTCTTCTCTTTTTTCCAGGGTGATGCAGGCTCAGATGTCCCAAGCATTCCTGCCACAGCAGGCTGCCCTATGCCATAGCCCTTTGGGATCCCTGACAGGCATGGAGGCTGTTATGTCAGCCCAGGCTGCTTCTGCCAGTAACCACTTGTCCCAAATAGAAGCTGTGTTGATGGAGAATGAGAAGTTGGCGAGAGAGAATGAGAAGTTTCACAGGGAAAATGAGATGCTGCGGCGGGAACTGGAAAGCTGCAGTGAGAAAGCCAGCCGAATCCAGAAGGTAAAGGAGCAGACTGCTGTGTGCCTCTTTTTGAGCAGCATGCCTGACAGAAGCACATGTGATATGTGCAGATCCATATGTAGGTTGCTGTTGCTCAGGCAAATGGGTTTTCTGCCCATCTAATTGTTTATCTAGAGTTTAACTCTATCTTTAATGTAAACAAAGGATACTCTAAAGTTACTGGCTGACTACCTCTTTTCTTATAGCAGTGCAACTTTGAAGAGTGCTTTTATGAGGATTTAGCAAAGTTGCTTTTTAAACCACAAATCTCCAGCTTCTGGATTTTTGCCATAGTTGTTTTCTTTGCTGACATTGAAGAACTTGGGTTACCCGTGCTTTGCTTAAAATTGGATTTTTTCCCCCCCTTTTGTATTCTCGAAGGCTTTCACGGCCAGGATCTGATGGTTGTTGTGGGTTTTTCGGGTTCTTTGGCCATGTTCTGAAGGTTGTTCTGGCAAAACGTCAGGAAGAACAACCTTCAGAACATGGCCAAAGAACTCAAAAAAACCACAAGAATCATTTTTTCCCTTTTATTGACTCTTTCCTAGCCGTTTCCCTTATTCAACATGGAAATAGAGAGAACTCAACTTGCTCTGATTTAAGAAAAAAGGCAAGACAAAAGAGAGAGAAGGCAAAGGATCTTTTTAATGGGGTTTGATTGAAGGGAACCCATCCAGCTCTTGTTTATCAACAGTGAATTCAACTTTTGCTAAAATGGTGTCTTCAGAGTGGTGATGGCTCTGTGTCTGAGCAACGCTAGTTAACTGGAACACTCTGAAGGGGAAAGTGCGTTCCCTTAGCTGTCCTTCAAAAGCTATATTGCTGAAGTTTAGCTTTGAAAGGCATTATTGGGTGTTTACAACCAAGGGTGGGAAACGTATGAATGACTACCTGAGAGACAAGGAAGTGTTTGGCAGATGTGGCTTCTTCTGTCCTTTCGGTGGAAAATGCCATATGTGCTGCACAGTCATGGGTGCAGGAAGCTCTCTGTAAGTCAGGTATTGGTACATGCTACCTTAGAAAGAGAAAGCCATCTTATATAAAGCGTAGATTGTATTTTCATCTAATCTACTCTGGCTGGCAGTGGTTCTCTTGGCACTTCAACAGCGGTCTTTGCCACTGGTTGCCACCTTTCAGCTGTTCAACAGTCTGAACTTTCTTTGTTTTCATGCATTGTTGGGAAGCTCATTTGGGCTGCTTTTAGGTTGCTACCTCCCATTTTGATTTCTCTTGGATCATAATATGGGAGATTGTCTGTTTCAATAGAGGAAAATGGAAAATCAAGATGGAAGAACGGTTGAGTGTCATTTTGCTCACTACCAAATGCCTCTATGTGGCTTCAGGTTATAGATCCCAGTTAGGATAGCAGTCATCTATTGCCTATTGATGCTGTTAAGAAACAGCCATTTTGATTGGGAACAGTCCTGATGCTCCCTGTGAGAGACTAGGGCTCTGCAGAATACTTCACAGGTCCAGTCTTGTCTTCAACAAAGTTTCCTGAAATTCCCAGTCTCTTGCCTCTTTGTTCCCCAGAAACAGCTGTCATAAAAACACTTTGCCTTTAATATGTTTTTTAATTGTCCCTCTCTTCATTAAACAGCTGTGCAGTGCAGGCACACGTTGCACACCAGGTCTTAAGCCAAAGCAGTTGTTGAATGGATAAAAAAGAGGCCATTCAGTACCTCCGTTAACAGTTGTGCCCTCTCGCTATCAGGCCCTCCCTCTTGGGGTCTGGGCTAGGCGAGCCACAGAAAGTCTTTTGTGTGGAGGCACACAAGGAGAAGCCTGTCATAGCCTGGCTGCAGCCAAGGGCAAGCCAACTCCACTCTGAACCAGGGAGGTATTTGGGGAGGGGGCACGTGCCAGGGTGGCTGCAGAGGTGGGGCTGTAGAGAGAATGTGCCAGGCCTGCAAAGGAAAAGGGTAAAAAATGGAACATGGAATTGAAAGGCCAGACTCTGCCAGCTAGGACTCCATAGGCAAGGGAGAGAAGGACAGCTGTAGAATATTTCCTAAGAAAGAGGGAGAATAATTTACTTTTAAAAACATGTTTGTTTTTAAAACACACACACACACGGGGCTGCAGCCAGGCTGAGTCTTCAGTAGTTGTTGTCATGAATTTGGCTGCATATTCTTGACTTAAGCCAAGGCTTGTGCTCTCAGCACTATGTTGGGTAGTTCAGCGAACCAACAGAAAATGGTATTCTGAACTATGAGCTGTGCAAAACTGCCCAGTGGCTTGCTTAAGTTATCCTGAAATAATAGAGTCCAGCAGTGCTGTCATAGCTTTTGTAGGAAGTTTTATTTGATTGGTAACTTAGCTGCATTTCTAAAAGACGTGTGTGTGCTTACCTATGTATATGAGTGTGCATATATGTGCATGGGTATGCACAGAGACACGCACAAGTATATAGATGTCTTCCTTGGTTTGTAACTCTGTATAAACAAACATACATATACTGCCCGCAAACATTAATCTGCTTTGAAATCAATTAAACAGCCATGTGTTCTTGCAGTCCACCCTAGTGTTACCAAACAAGACCTCTCTTATGTAGTTTATCCATTCATACATTACTCAGCGTTCAGCTTTTCTAGCACATTATGTCATGAGTCAGAGTGGATTGTTGCATGAAAATCCATGTCGGAACCTTGAGATTTAAATATTAAGAGATATATACCAGTCTTTTATTTTCCTACTCAGTTGGTGAAATACATACCAGTCTTTTATTTTCCTACTCAGTTGGTGAAATACATGTTTTGAGAATGTTCAGGGATTTTCTTGTATGAATTATTTTGCAAATGAAGATTTTTGGTTCTCTCAGTTGGAAACAGAGATTCAGCGAATTTCAGAGGATTATGAAAACCTTATGAAAGCTTCCTCAAAGCGAGAGACATTGGAGAAGGCCATGAGGAACAAGAAGGATGGGGAGATCAGGAGGATGCAGGACTTCAACCGTGATCTGAAAGGTAAGAGGCAGCCCGGGGCTGCGCTTTCAGCCCCATTATCTGGGTGGATAGTAAATCAGGAGATACTAATTATAAGAAAGTTGTATGCTGGAAAGCTTCCAGTACCACTCACCTGTAAAAGAATCCATGTCTCTACATATAATCCTGTATCTGGAGTGGAGAACCTTTGGTACTCCAGAAGTTCTGGATGAGAACTCCAACAATACCTTACTATTTGCTGTGCTGGGTGCACCTGATGAGAGGTCTACTCTGAAAAGTTTCCAGAGCCAAAGGTTCTACCAAACCATAACTCGGAAATTGAACTGGTTTGAAGTGAACTGGTTTGTTTTGTAGTATCCTGAAAAATTAGATTTAAGGACTTTGGCATTAGGGAAATCAAGACAGAAAAAAAATGAGAATTAGACAGACATTTGGCAGCAGATTTTCTTAAGGCTTGGAACCCAAAGAAACATTTCTGGTTGTGATCCAAAGGTATAAGAAACTGGTTTCTCCCCTTGGTCCCTATCCCTTAATGAATTGCATGGACAGCAGCCACATATCTCTGACAGTGCTGCATAACTCTTGGCTTGCCAAATACTGTTGGACTGCCACTCCCCTCATCCCTGAACATTGACTTGGTTGGCTAAGGCTTAGGGGAGTTTTACAGTCCAGTAGCAACATCTAAAGGGTCAGGGGTTGTCCCCTCCTGGCCTATAGTTTTGGCAGTGCATCTTCTCTGGAGGCTTTTGAACAGATGTTGGGTGGCCATCCCTTAGGGGTGCTTTAGCTGATGCTCCCCTTCTTTGGCAGATGATTGGATTAAATGACCCATGGCGTCCCTTTGAGCCCTGAAATTCTCTTAACACTGGCAATCCCTGAACGTTGATATGAATTACAAGATCAGCTATGTTTTTTTCTTTCAATTTCTCCCAGAGCGATTGGAATCTGCGAACAAGCAGTTGACCAGCCGGGCACAAGAAAACCAAGATGGCAACCAAGGGACTATGGCAAAACTTGTTGCTCAGAGTAAGTCTTTTTTAAAAAGCTTTCTGCTCTTGCACTTAACAGTTCCAATCCAATTGAGCTGTTCTCTCTACCTCAGGCCTGTTTCTAAAACTCTTGCTGTTGGTGGCTTGGAAAAGCCAGAAAGCTTAAGGTCCCTTTAAGGTTGAGGAGTAGGCGGATCCTCCCTTGGAAGCTTTTTGCCATTCCCCAGAGAGCGCTAAGCTGTTCTTGGCACTTAAACTAGAGCCATTAATCACTACAGCCATCAGTGTGACCTGGATTCTTTGCATTCCAGTGGCTGCTCCGGCTGCTCCAGCATACAGGCTCTACTCCCTCTGCTGAGAGTCCAAAGTCCAAGTTGTCATGCCTGCCTCTCTCAATCTTTCTCTCTCCCCTTTTCTCCTCCCCCGCCCCCTCCATCTTTCTGGATTTTTGAGGAAGGAGGGATGGTAGCCAAGCAATGGGAATTTACCTGGAGGAGATGTGGGAGGTAATTTAATTTTTCAATCTACAATGCTATGAACTACTCCTTCCTGAAGATTGCTTCTTCTCCACACACCCTTCCTCGCTTTCTTACTGGCCTTGCAGATACATCTGTATAACAAGACTACACACAAAGTCTCCAGAATAATACAAACTGTATTTCAGGAGGTGCACGGCATTGTATTCAGTAGAGACACACAGATTTTTGTTTTTGTTTTTGCTTTTATGGATGCTGGAACGTGCTGTCAGGAGAATGCTAGGAGTGGCAGCCAAAAAACACAAATCTGCGCCCCTCTAGTATTTAGGATTTCTTAGTTAAGTATGGCTTGTGTAACTATTTTAGTTATTCGGTCATTTCGTGGAAATTTCAAAGGAGTTGGGGCAATGTCTTTTGTTTGGATCCTTGCAACTTTCTTGTGTAACCTGTAGCACCATACAAGCTTCCGTCCCTTGGTGTCTGGAAGGCAAAGGAAAAAGCTAATTTTCTTGTAGTCCCATTGTACATGAGATTTAGAAGTTTGTGGGACAGATCATGGGTGGTATCTGTACAACCATGAGGAAAACTGCAAGAGCATAGCCCGTCTTTTCTGTCCTTCTGGATCTGGTAGGACAAATGGGAGGTGCCTGTGTAACCCCTCCAGTGTCTGTAGTGTAAAACTGGTGACAGTAAGATAGGGATGGGCAACCCACAGGCCTTTCAGATGTTATTGGAGCACAACTGCCATGTTTCTTAAATAGCTTGACTATTGTTTGGGGATTATATGGGAGTTGTAGTCCAACAAAACCTGGAGAGCCACATATTTTCCAACCTTGCTTTGAAGAAGCTCAGAATATTATAGGATGTTCCTGCAAATTCCTTCATTCTTCTATTTCCTGTGCTAAACAGAGTAGTGCCTGCATTAATGGGGTGGTATATAAATCAAAGAAACAGAGAAAAATATATGGACTTCCTCTCATAGAAGTAATTTGGCACCAATGTGTTTTCTGTTAGTTATGTGTCTCAGTTTACTAGGTCAGGTATGACCCCACTGTACAATAATTAAACAAGTGAATAGTCAGGAACTGCTCAGAATGGAAACAACACCCATTTCTCTTCCAGCAACTTGGAGAGTAGCTATTTTACTTAAAATGTTTCTTTGTGAAGGAATATTTTTGACTACAGTGTCAATCTCTGCAATAGGGAAGAGGTTCAAGCCTACAATTTGTGTTGGTGACAGCCCCTCCTTGTGTTGTCTCCAGATTATGAGTACCAGCAAGAAAGGGAGAAGTTACAGCGGGAAGTTGCACGGCTACATGGTGCCAATGAAGATCAACGTCGGCGAGCAGAGCTGCTGGAACAGGCTCTGAGCAGTGCCCAGACACGGGCTGCCAAAATGGAGGATGAGCTGCGGAAAAAGCGAGCATATGTGGAGAAAGTGGAGAGATTGCAGCAAGCACTAGTGCAGCTCCAGGCAGCTTGTGAGAAGCGTGAACAGCTGGAAATGCGTCTCCGCACTCGCCTGGAGCAGGAGCTGAAGATGCTACGGGCTCAGCAGGTGAGTGGAACGCCAAGGAGGTGGGCCAGCAGCACAGTATACTTCTGGACACGAGTAGGAGGTTATGAATCTGGGTCAGCCACCATCTGATGAATTATGCTCTCCTCAGTAGAGGGCAAGCAGTTCCACTTTGTATTAACTTGAAGAGAAAACCACACACGCCCTAGTGGTGGTGGGCTTCCCATAGGCACTTAGCTGACATCCTGGCCTTGATAGGCCTTGGATCCAATCTTACATTCTTCTGGGAAGCCTTGTAAAATTGTGGTTCCACTTTGTATTAACTTGAAGAGAAAACCACACACGCCCTAGTGGTGGTGGGCTTCCCATAGGCACTTAGCTGACATCCTGGCCTTGATAGGCCTTGGATCCAATCTGTCTTCTTACATTCTTCTGGGAAGCCTTGTAGAATGGTGATGCCTTTGGTCTGATAATTTCAAGAATGTTTCTGGAATATCAGTTAGATAATAGTTTTTAGAGATGTAGTTCCTCTCCAGTTGTATTTTTATACATCCATCCAGATTGTCCCATGAGTTATTGGTTCTGAAGGCAGACATGCAAGGTTATTGTTAAATTCCAGGCAATCACATTTGGAACATTCTAATTAACAAATTAACAGCCAGCTGTACAGATTGATACCCCGGAGGGTAGTGTGTGGTTAAGATTTTGATAGTTTGAAAAAAGGAGTTTCTTGTTTAAAGAACTGGGCCAGGAAAGGTAGCACGAAGGCATGGTATTTCAAGATAGGTTTCACTGTCAACAGAAGTTAAATTACCTTCCTCATTTGGAAGCAAAGAAGGAAATACAACATAAATCTTAGAAGCTTAGTCACTTAAATCTTACATTTAAAGGGAGGGAAGGTTATATTTGAAAAGTGAGTGGCTACCATTTCTACAACTGCCAGAATTACAGCTAATTGGTAAGCAGAGATGAGGCCAGCATCTAATATTGAATGGTGGGGTAGGCTGAAGGCCTTCAACATTGAATGATAAATGTAATTCACATGTCAGGTGAGAAAATCCTGCTGCAAAGTATACGTGTAACGAGTGTGTATTCCTTTCAGTGTCAAAAAAGCCCAAATTCTTAAACAGTTGAGTCAAGAATCTGTATTGTCCCCAGGTTTAGACTCATTACAACATATGTATGACTAGACTGTTTCCAGCAGTGGCATGAAATGTGATGTCACGTGGTTTGTTGTTCTCTTTCTTTGCCAATCCAGAGACAGATGGGAGCGCCTTGTGGAGGACCCCCTGAATTGAATGCACACATCCTCTCTGAACAGCTGAGAGAAAAAGAAGAGAAGATCCTAGCCTTGGAGGCTGATATGACCAAGTGGGAACAAAAGTATCTAGAAGAGTGCACCATGAGGCAGTTTGCAATGGATGCTGCAGCCACAGCTGCCGCGCAACGGGACACCACCATCATTAACCACTCCCCACGCCACTCCCCCAATAACAGCTTTGATGAGGACCTTTTGCTGGCAAACCACAAGCATCAGGAGATGGAGAACAGGTTAGTTTTACTATGGGTTCACTGCTTATTCTATGGCATGATCTCAGGGAACGAGAAAAATGGTCTTTGAAGGAGAACATGGCTTGCAGATTGAGTTCCATGCCGGATGAATGTCAAAATGGGGTGAAAGAATAGGGAGTGTTCTTTGTGGCAGTGACTAGCCCAGAGCAGTTGTGTCAAATCAAGGCTCTTCATCTGCTAGATAGAAGTGAGGCAAATCTGCTTTTGGAGGCTTGTAATACAACAGTGAGAATCACATGGCCCTCCAGATGCTGTTGGACTTTGGGCTTGGAAACGTTCCTCTCTTCTGCTACAGCCAGTATAATGCTCCCAGCCAGCATGAGGGATTCTGGGAGTAGTTCAGAATAGTAGGTTTTCCAAGCCGTACTATGAGCTGTTCTATGGCTCTCGTGATCCTTCACTGTTGGCTGTGCTGAAGGGGGTTGCATTTGAGTGACCTCCTGCAGGCGCCTGAAGAGCGCTTCCTACAATGGCCAAGGAAGCCCTTGGGTTCACACGTGTTTTCCCTCCTATGGCATTGTTTCCTTTTATTCCCAGGTTGAAAGAACTTCATGCTCAAATACTTGAGAAAGATGCTGTCATCAAAGTCCTGAAGCAGCGCTCTCGTAAAGATCCAGCTAAGGCTCACCAGGGCTCCTTGCGGCCTGCCAAGTCTGTGCCATCCATTTTCACAGCGTCAGGAGCCCAGTATTGGCCAGGCACCTCTGCCAGTGACCGTGTTTCCCAAGGGAGTCCAGGTAATAAAAGCTATACTTGTTATTAGGAGACAGGAAGGGAGGGCTTCTTTAGCTTTAGTGTATCTGTAAGGGCCCTTTTTCCTGCTCCTCCCAGGAAGCATTAGATGGTGGTCATCTTTTGTATGTTATCTGCATTCTTTGTCATTCACTTAGAATTCTGCTGTTAGGAAGAATTAACACCCAAAGGTGTTAATTTTTCTGGTCCACCCTAATTTCCAGGACCAGGAAAACAAAGTACAGCAGTTTGGAATATCCACAGCTTGCTGTTGCATCAAGTCAGCTTTGCTGCAAAGCCATGGTTTCTAAAACTACTTCAAGTCGTGGTTTGGTCGCAATTATTATTTGCTGCCTGGTCTTTCCAAGAGTGTTTCATTCCAGATGTCATGTTCCTGATCCTCCAAATCGGAGTGCAGAGGATCAAGAATGTGGTGTCTGGATCGAGCCTTGCAGGGGAACGGTCAGAATTTAGAAGCATGAGAGGATGTTCCCTTCAGTCGGCTTCTTTTCCTTGATTGTTCATTAAACCTCCACATGTTACTACCTGTAACATTTCATGGTGCACAGGCTAGTGGTAGTTCAGGCAATAAAACTTGACCCCAACATATTTCCTGTGGATGCTCAAGTTCAAGTGAAAATGCAGATGACATTATCAGCCAGTTGTAGATATTTTCCCTCCTTTAATTGTAGGCTTGTGCCTAGACATCTCTTCAAACTCTGTGAGCCTATTCTAACTTTTCTAGGTTTGTTGGTCTAAAAAGAGCTCCTTTTATTTCTTCCTGCAGCACCTAAAGCCTCAGCAGAAAGCCTCATCCCATCAACTTGTGTCTCCTTCCATAGCAAACATGGCAGCAAAGATGGAAGTACACAAACGGAAGGCTTGCCCGAAAGCATCCAGGATGATGACACTGAGTGCCACCAACTTGAAAGCAGTAGCGTTACAGCCAGTTCCCTAGGTAAGACCCAGCCGTAGACTTGCAAGTGGCTTCAGGACTACCACAGTGCCTGCATGACCTTCTCTTCTGAAGTCTGCTATTAGCTGCGCTCACAAGTACACCCAGTGAACTGCCTTCCCCTGCCAGGGATGCCTGACAAGGTTCACATAACTCAGAGGTGAACATTGAGCTGTTTGCTGCAGGCTAAATGCCAGGATCAAGATTCCTGCCATAGTGACTAATCATGAGTTTTGTGCAATGCAGTGTAGGCTTATCCTAGAAGAGCAGGTGGGGCTGAAGGAGGTTGCAGGGAGGAGGGAGTACAGAGTAGGGAAGAGGGCAGGGAAGGAGAGAAAAATGAAACGGTGGCTTATGAAGAAACTCCAGTGGAACTCTCTAAATCATTCTTCTGGCCTCTTTCTCCGTAGTACAGCCTATTCCTCTCAACATCCTGCTGTTCAAATACTTTGGAGAAGAGTTTCACAGTTCCAATGAATGGTCCATGTCAGGATTATGAAATCTGGATATCTGCGCACGCACACACGCACACGCACAAACACGCACAAACAAACACACACACACACACACACACACACACACACACACACACACATTTCCCTCCCTGTTTTGGGCTGGGGGGGGTCTCTGTGAAGGCTGAAAACCAGAAATCTAAAAGCTTTGGAGGCCAGTAGAGGTGGCAGAAGGTTACAGATATGCTTAGAATGTTTGTGGGTCCTGGGTGTGATTGGGCTCCCCCAGCATGTGTCCTAAGGCAGTGGTTCCCAGCCTTAGGTCCCCAGATGTTCTTGGACTACAACTCACAGCACAGCTAGTGGTGAAGACTTCTGAGAGTTCTTGTCCAAGAACATTTGTGGACTGAAAGGTTGGGAACTACTGGCCTGAGGCATCAATCAGTTGGTGTGTTCCACGTGTTTTATTTGTGTTAGCGCAAGAGGGTTAGTTGCTTGGTGGCCATGTCAGTCTGCACTCTGGCTCTAAGGCTGCATTTATTCTAGTTGCTAACATTTAGTGTGAATTTTTCCATTACCCTGCTGCCAAATGTGCTAAATTCTTCTTTGAAAGGTTTTCTGATAACAGGACATGCATGTGTGTGTGTTTTGATTTACAGAGACTTTGCCAGCTGCTAAAGCCCTGGACCTGTCAGATATGGTGGAGATTCTCATCTGAGAAGGACAGTGACTTTTCTGTGCACATTATGTGCCCAAGCCTAGCTACTACTACTCTGCTTTAGCAGATTGCTGTCTTATCAGTGGACAGTAATGGACTGATGGAGCAAAGACTGAGGCCACTTTGACAGCCTGCCCAAAGTGGGACAAAGGACTTTGCAAGAGAAGCTGGAGGACAACGTTAAGTAGATCATTGCCTTTGGAGAGCTGTGAAACTACAACAACAGAACCAACATCTCTGGGTTGTGAGCACCCTTTGTTTGCCATACAGATTCCTTCCTTCTTTTTCCTCCAGTGGACTGTGCAACAGCTGGAGGGCTGTGTAATGAGGCTGGGGCTGGCACACAGCGGTAGCTGCTCCACCTTTCTTTTGCCACTGGCTTTCCCAAGAGATGGATATGCAAATTGGGAAAGGCAGGTTGAATCTTATGCTGCCAGGGAGTGGCACTACAGATGGCAGTATGGTGAGTGGCGCTGAAAAAGAGGCAGACGCCGGCCTGTTTTGTGGGGCTCCTGGCAGGTTCCTGGACCTGAAGTGTAAGCTATCCTATTCAAAGAGGGTTTGCCTGGTGCTGCTGTGGGTAGATTGAAATTCCCGCACCGTCTCCTTCCCCCAAATCCACTTTTCACCTCCCAAGAGGAGGGGCTGCTGCAGATAATTGGGGAGTAAGTTCTCTTACCATTTTCTGGGCAAGAACACAAGGCCTGCCATAGGTACTGGGGAAGAAGGAGGTGGTAGACAAATGAATGCCACTTCCATTTTTGTTTTTGTAAATAATCTCTTAAGTACAAGCCCAGTAGCAATCAACATTACGGCCACGATCCCGCTGTTTTGCTTCTTTTTGCCCCCGTTCTGTTTATTTGCAGTGGATCTGCCTGATCTCTCTGTTTTGCTCCATATTACTTAAAACTGTTCTCTCCCCAACCCCCTTAGTCTTGTTTTTAGATTTCTCTCTAGTGTTTGCTTTTTCTTTTCCTCCGTTTAATATCCTGTTTGTCCAGAGTTAAATATCCGCCTTCAGAGTCCTTCAAATTCCATTTCCTTTGAAGCAATTTCCCATGATGCTTCAGACTGGAATTTCCCTGCACTTTGTTTAAACAGCAGTGCAGGAATGAGAGCCAAGTGTTTCATTTCTGTTCATGCCTGTTGCTGTTTCCAAGTTGTTCTCTTCTAAACTGGATGCATCCCCATGTGGTGTAGATCAGCACAGCTGCATTTGGGATGAATGGCCCTGATTCCCTGGCTGGTGTAAGAGCACTGGGGTCATTGCATCAGCAGGGAAAACCAGCTGGTCCCAAGTAAAATCTGGACTGGAGTCCTTACAGAGAGAAATGATCATGGTTTGCATTAGAAAGAACTCAAAAAGTGAATCGGAAACGACTCTGAGAGCATGGGTGAAGTATGATGCGGTATGTGTGCGGGGGTTTGTGTTGAGCTGGTATGTTTGTGAAGTGGGCCAAGTAGCCAGCATGTAGGAGTATTTTTCCCCATAAAGAATTAAAGGGCATTTGAGAGAGTGATGTGAGTGCATATGGAGGTGAAGAACAATTTTATAAACCAAGTGTGTTTTTTAGAACTACTACTGGATATTAAGTACAGATATTTCCCTGCCTTTCTTTGGAAAGGAATCACTCCAGCATCTGCAGTAAAATCTTTTTAACGCTCACCTGCCTACTGACAGCTGGCTTCTGACAGTAGCTGAATTTGATACGAATGCATTACTCACTCCGTCGAACTTGGGTGCTTTCTTGAGTCTGCCTTAATACACTTCCATCTTTGCCTTTATCTCTGTTAAACATGTGCATTTGCTGGACAACTGCATTTTTAAAAAGCAGGAAAAAAAATCCCCCTCCGTAAGTATGTAAAAAGTGTTCAGTTATTGTGCGTTGTTTACAAAGTGAAAAACAAAGCAAAAAAAAGTTACGAGAAAGAGAAACACAGCTTAATATATTGCATATTAATATTTGGTATTCCTTTTTAAGTATTTTTGTGCTGTGAACTTTTTTCTGCCAAAGACAGTGAGGGGTGTTTTTTTTGTTTTTGATTCATTTTAAGTTATCTTAAGTATTTAAATGTAAACCTGACTTTTATTATGCCACCCTATACCGAGATTGCTGTAGCATTCCACTTGGTATAACAATATTTTAATAAAAAAAGTTGTCTAATAAGCCTGAGGCTGTGTTCTTCTGTTGCGTTATCTGTGCTACTAACTGGGAGATGGAAGGATGATGAAACCTACACATAGGGAGCAAGTACAGTATCTATACCTTTTCTCATGTATGTGTCCTCATAGTCCAGCCATGCTGTAGGACAATAGCTCCCAACCTTGGGTCCCCAGATGTTCTTGGACCAGAACTCCCCAAAATCCTGGCCAGCACAGCTAGTGGTGAAGGCTTCTGGGAGTTTTAGTCCAAGAACAGCTAGGACCTCAAAGTTGGGAACCCTGCTCTAGGAGCTTAGACTGTTGTGCTGTTGTCCTCTGGGCCTAAACCACAGCCTCTTGTTGGCAAGACCTAAGGAGGACTGTTAATAATAGCACCTTTTGGTAGTAATTTATTCATAGAGTCACCATAAGTCAGAAGCAGCTTGACAGTACATAACGACCTATTTCAAAGACCCAAAGAGTTGTCAATTATTATTATAGTGCGTACCTCTGTATTTTTCCATTTCTCAAAAATAACTTAAAAATATTTAAGGGGGTGGAGTTGGAAACTATCTGAGTTTTAGAAACTCCTGTCCTATGGTACAAACATAATTCCTTCTGCCCACCTTACTGTCTCCTTAACACCCATTACAGAGGATGAGGCAACTACAAAAGATACAGCACTAGCCAGCATTTGAACAATGTGATATCTCTTCTTTAGTTTTTAGCAAGATCACCCACCACCTAATTATAAATGTAACTGAAATATTACACTTTAAAAGGAGTGAAGTTATCCTTTGTCAAATCACAACGATTACGCAATATGTTTTGGGGGATACGAATTAATTGTAAGTTACCAGTCACCTCCAAAGTCTGGTCTGAACATGAGGAACCTGTGGTTTCAAATTGACAATTAGTTGCCACTCTGGATAGCGATGCAAAGGAAGAGCAACTTTCCAGGTTGGCAAAGGCCCAAAAGGCCACCTTGGCTGGGAGTTTCTGTGATTTTTAGTTCATGAAATACATTTTGCAAGCTCTGTTCCTGGTTATCTCCATTTCAGTAGCGCCATTTTGCATGGAGTAGTCATTTTGTAATGCTGTTATGGCTGCTGCTAAGAAACAGCTGGGTGTCTGAAACCCTTGCAGAAAGTAATACAAGATCTTTACCATTAGATCCAGATCTACCTTTTTCTGGCCACCTAGGTGTAGCAGTTGCCCAGAGTACTGGGTCCGTCTTATACTTCAGGCTCTCTGTATCTAGTAAGAATTAATTTAGGAAAAAGTCATGTGAGAAGCAACCATGAGTGTACTCTGAACTCTAGAATGTGGCCAGCAGCCAATACACAGTCACGGGAGGGGGGGGTTGCTGAACAGCTGGCGTGCTGCAACCATTGTCTGTTTCACCGAGCCTTCAGCTTGGCTTGGTCTGCCTGTTGTTTCCACCTCAGATTCAAAGTAAACTAAGGCACAAGCTGCCTTTCTTCTTTGTTTAATTTCTGACTGAATCCAAAGAGTGAAAACAATGCATATAATCAAGGAACAATTCACCTGCACCTGCCAGCTTTTGATAAGGACAAGAAAGATTCTACCAAGTTGTTAGAGATAGAAACCATGGTGGCCTCGGCCACACATGCTCTTTGCAACAGAAGGGAAGGCCCTCCCTCCAGAATGTCCTGTGAAGGTCCATTAACATTCCCTGCTTTGGTCACAGTGGTTTTTATCCTGTAAAGGCACTGACCTTGGTGGTTAATGTGTAACTATTAACAATGCATTTAGCTCCAGTATGTGCAGTGATTAACCTGAGGAATTTGAGTAGGAAGCCAACAAGGTTATTACAGAGAGGAAAGCAATGCTTAAACAACCTTTCAGTCCTTTCCTTGTCTGAAATAAACAGCAGTTGGCAGGACAGGGTTATTTATTGCAATAAAAATAACAAGCTATTTTAGGACCCAAGCATTGAGGTATTTGGCATTTTCCAGATAAACACTGATTTTTAAAAATGTTTTTTTAAGCCCTAAGATTCACTTCAGGTCCCCCTAAAAATGAGCAGCAGTCAAATAAAGCATTAATTGGTGGGATGCTGCAGACTGCAAATGTGTCCAGCTGAAAATATCTCACAGAGGGGCAGATGTTTAGGGATAGGGCCAAGCTCTCCTTTGTGCACATCTTTTGCTCTTCATATGGAAGGGTAGACTTAATACAGGACTGAAGCAAATCCAGGTTCAAACAACTGAATTTGGCACTGTCACATAACACCAGACTCGCATATGGATTGGCCTGACACAATGTTATCAGAAAATGTGTTCATGTTTTAACCAATGGTCTTCTAATTGCTGCCCTCCAGATGTATCGGACTATTCCTGAACCGCATTGTGAGGTCAGAGCAGAGAGAGAGCCGTCCCCTCGCGAACAGGACACAGAACAGAAGTAATAACAGCAGGAAAGGAGACAGAAGTAGAACAGGGAAAAGATCAAGCAAGTGATGTACGCGAGGAGGAAGAGAAGGAAAGAAGCCGTGCAGAAGAACAAGAGACAGAGGGAGAGAGGGAAAGGCATGAGGAAAGGCGAGAGAAAGGGCGCATGGAAGAACGAGAGAGGGGGAGAGGAATAGGGAAGCGCGAGGAAAGCAAACTGTTGAGGCAGTTAGAGGAGAGAGAAGGGGGCAGAAAGGGGTATCGCGAAGATGACTGAGAGAGGGAAATGTGTTCTTAAGAACAGAGGAAGGAAACACATCTACACATACAGAAAAGGTCTCAGTATTTGAAGAAACAGCAAATGATCTAGTTAAAGAAGGTGCGTTTGCTTATAAGGTGCCCAGAAAGAGCATCAGAGAGGGAAGCATCAGAGAGGGAAGAGATTAATAGTCTGGTGAAGAGAAAATCCGTCCGATAATACCAGGTCCTAGTCCATTAGAATGGACAGTTTTAGTCTTTCCAAAGGGTCCAGGTCTAGAGCAACAAGTTTATCCAGCAGACCCGATCTACATGAGGGAGAAACAGCCAGAGGGGCAATGGGCTCACCACCCGTGCTGTGGGACTTTATGCCACGGATGCAAGCAACAACTGAGAGAGCCGATCGCCAAAGAGAAATAGATCAGAATCTGTTATTAAAGGACATTAACCAAGAAAAGTCATTGTTATGGATGTGGGACAATTCCCCACCGCAGTTATCTGTTTGCTGTTCTAATGAGTTTAACAAAGTTGAAACGATAGGTTCTGTTAATAAAAGTTCTTTTATTCAAAATAATGACTCATCTTTTACAGTTCAAGAAAGAACAGACACAGGGAAAGAACGAACCTTCTTACACGCATAAAGAATCTTGTACTTTGAGAGGGACTATGCTAAAGGATAGTGTATCCCAGTGGTTCCCAGTCTTGGGTCCCCAGATGTTCATGGACTAAAGATCAGAGAAGCTTTCACCACTAGCCGTGCTGGCCAGGATTTTTGGGACTTGTAGTCCAAGAACATCTGGGGACCCAAGGCTGGGAATCACTGGTCCAGTCCATTATTATATTCATGACTGATGATGGCTTTCTAAAATGTTCAGTCATTTCTAGCAAAGGGGTAGGCCATGTTATTGCTGCTGCTCTTTTGTTAGAGCTTTATTTGCATCCATGGGATCTTGACGTTAGATTGAGATTTGTATACAATCCTAAAACTATAGGTTTAACAGTGCAGGGGATGCCAGAAATTACATATGGAACTCATTACATCTGAAGTAAGTGTTCTGCTACCTGCACTGTACCCCTTCCTTGTTTGCTTCCAATTGTACACACATAGCAACAAGTCACAACAATAGTATCAGGCAGTGGGTCTTTCCTGTCTCATGAGGCATTGGCATAATTCCAAAGAGGAGATACCTCTGTGCTACCATTGTTATGCATATGTGCATATTTGTATATTTCTACCTATATTTGAAGATTTGTACCTCACAAATTGACATAACTGAAGTAGCTTACAATATATTTAAAATACAATAAAATAGACAAGAGTTACTAGGCAGGAGCAAATCTATATAAATGTTCCTCTTCACCACCACCTTCAGACAAACTTAGTGTGATGCAGTGGATAGAGTATTGCTCTAGGACTCAGGATAACTGGATTCAAACTCCCACTTGGTCATGGAAACTCTTTGGGGATAGGTGAAAGGGTAAACCAGTCCTTGAACATCTTACAAACCTGGAAAATCCTATTAGGGTTGCCATAAATAGGAAGCAAGGATGGGTACTAGCAATCCCAGCTTCTTGCTCCTGTTGACAGATGAAAGAGGCGTTGCTGGAGAAGCAGATGCTCCTGGGTAGCAGTAGCAGCCCTCCAGCTGTTCTCCTTGAGCCCTTTGGCCTTTCTTCTTTCGGAAAGCACAGAACAGTGTGCACCAAACAACCTGCTGTGATGCCCTCAGTGTGGTGGTTGGAGCATAACATGTTGTCAGTACAACTGAAATGAGATTTTTTAAATACAGTACTTTAAACCTAATTAGAAACTGTAGTGCTTTGCCCTTCACCTCAGACAGAAAAATGGCTTAGGTCACATCAGAGCTAATCCTAGGAGAAGTGAGGACATTTATTTCTCATTAATTTTGACAAGGAGATCAACAGTGTTGTTAAAACTCTGTTCTTGTATTTGGCTGAGCTGGTCTACTTTCTTCTATCAGTATGATTAAACATGTGAATGATGAAACAAACCTGGGCTGGTACTTGCTACCATTCCCTACCATTCCTTCCTCACCTGTTTCTGAAAGAGATAGGATAGCTAATGAACTAGTGGCTCAAAATATTTTAATCAGATGTAGCAAGCAGTCTCTCTTTCCTTAGAATTCCTCCTCCCCTGCTCCCGTGTTTCTAGAAACAGAGATGTTATTTGCACTTTGGATTGTGTGTGAAAAGCCCCAGAGAAGCAAGAACATCCTGGGAAGTGGTGCTCTCAAACTGTGCTCTGTAATCTCCATTGTGGTGTCTCCATCCATATTTCAAAATACCAGAGGCCAGGTGAATGATTTATTGGACCTGAGACTAAAACTGATAA